TATATATATATATATATATTTATATCTACTTATAATCTATGATAGTCAATGTTATGATTATACTTGAACTGTGAACATCCCTCAAGAGACTTTAACGACAGCAAAACATTTTTCACAAGAATTTATATTATTATCTTACCGTGTCGATGTTGTAAAAACACGTTTACAAACATCGGTCTTATACAGATATTACGGAAGTGGGATTTTCTATTTAAATGAATAACGTTTTCAGCTACACTCTATGGCAATTGACAATATCTCATTGCTCCAAATTCCAATATTCAGTTAAAGACAAAGACTGMTTTTATTATTTATGTCTAACGTTATGTTTCATTTAACTAATATAATTCAATATTATATATGTGCCAAATAGGTTGTATGTGTGAACCATTACCGTGATATTAATGATATGACGACGTTATACATTATGAATAATTATATGATATTATAGTTACTATGTATAGTATATTGAAAATTACAATACAAGTTTACCGGTAGCGCAACTAGACATTTCTGGTTAGTGATAATCTGTACCTGCAGTATACTATAATGTATATTATCTTACTATGATTACAATATTTTCAATAAAAAAAGTATATAATTTGTGATTTTCTACAAATATACAAAATGTATGACTCAATTGAGTCCCTGGGACCCTTTCCAAATCAGTCGACCATCAGTTTAATAAAGGTCAATTACGATATGATTTTGTCAAACTATTATCAAAGCTGATGGMATTCATAATTTATATCATATTAATAAATAATAATTACATTTGTTTTTATTAAAATATTGATAAAACCATATCGATGAAAATGGGATCAAAAGTAAATTTGTATGAAAGTCGCCACTGGAATGTTTCTCGGTTGTCGGTAGTTATTATTCGATTGTCAATTATAGCCATATAGTTATAAAGTCCATGAGCTCATAAAATTCTTTAAAATACACCTATTAATATATTATTCATGGAAAAACTGCAATGTTTTAATAAATTAAGAAAAAATGCAATGTTAAATATTAAAAGTAAATAGATAAATAGATCACTAGAAATTTACAATTTTGAGTGTAACTGTCTATAATAGATGTTCAAAAAATAAAAACGTTGGGGACATCATCTGYTCTAGACCCGGAGRGCTTCCTTTCTAGTTGCGCCATCGTTAAATATGTTATTTTCAGTGTTTATGATGTAACTCGTGTTCATCGATATATTATCAACCCGGGCACTTAACCATCCGTATTCATATACACACTGTATATAAATTCGCCATAGAAATACGACTTTACTGCATTTTCGTGACCAATATTTTATTAATAATTTTGTTTCTTTCCTATGCAGACGTTTACCTGACACGTCAAACACGTCTCCTCGATGATGTCGGGTTATAGAAACGGTGGCGGAAACGGTGTCCATCAGGAGAGCGAGCAGGAACAGCGCCTTCGTCAACACCGGTGAAAGCTGCGAACGAGACGTCATATCAGACCTYGTGTCGTCGATGACTGCGCATGCGCGCCACCCTGCAGCACGAGACGGAGGCGACGACAATTTTCGCGGTCCGCTYTTCTTCAGCCAGCACCGCCGTCGCACTCGTCATCCATCTGATCACCAACGTCGGCCGCAAATCTATCTGCTGTACATCGTCGTGTGAAACAAGAACAAAAAAAAAAAAAATTAATTTATCATCTTTTTTACACCGTTGTTTCATATTATATTGTTATGTATATTATCATCGAATTTTTCAATCATATTCACGTTTTGTGACGTATCTTTATAATAAAATATAGTATTGTGAGCATTAGAAACAATTTGAGTTTTATTACATATGAAATATCATGCACACGTAATATTTGCATACATTTTTAAATGATTTTAGTAATAATATTATTATATATTATATACATCTATGAAGTTTAAACTATATAATATAGGTATACTTTAATATAGTAGTAGGTTCCTATTAATTGTATACACTTATTCATTATAATATATATATTCAGTGCTGGGAATGGGTTGGCGCCTTGGCGGGAGTTACTTCTTCTTTAAAAAAATATATTAACGTTTTCCTTCAATAATTTATGATACTCTCATCATGACCAATAAGCTAGTTATAAATCTYTAGGTACGCACATTTATTACAGGCATCCCTTTTCTATTTATTTTTAATTTAATTTTTAAGTGATTATGTGATTATATAAAGACAGGATTTCTGAGCAGTGAGCCCTCTGTTCTTGCGTACATCGGCACTAGTCAATATCTATGTCATATTTATATATGTATATACTTAACATATGTACAGGTATTTTTCATCATGGCTGTATATTTTTGGTCCTTTCCTACTGTTTGAAAAATAGGTAGGTAATTTACAGAAATTATCATAATTAGAAAGATAGAATAAATTACTCAATTTTTAAAGTGTTTATATGACTCAGGTACAAAAATTGGACAACTCAAATATTTACGAAATTAAGTTATTAGTCACGAAAAAAAAA